TGTATGTATATATAGTATTATATATTGTATGTATATATAGTATTATACATATAAAATTTCATACACATGCCACCATCCATCCACAAGCCCCGAGCTGCCCCAAAGTGAAAGTTAAATGTTCGACATCAACTCCCCATTCTGCCCTCCCCATCTCCTGGAAAGCAAGGTTCCATTGCTCTACTTTCTGTCTCCATGCACTTGATTACTCTGGATACGTTGCATAAAGGAACTCATAAAGTCACTTAGCATGTTCAGTCCCATGTTTTAGCACAGTCAACTGTTCTAAGGGCTGGTAAGATGCCCGAATCAGAATCCTGGGACACTATCAGTTTGCACCAGCAATGGGGGTTGTCAGACCTGCCTCCTGCAGCAAGAGCACCTTAGTGCTCACATGGGGTCTGAACAGGGTCATAAGGCAGAATAAATTCATAATCAATTATACTCAGAGTTTATAATTTAGTTTGAACATTTATGAGCTCTGGAGCCTTTTTGGTTTCACAGGCTGGAGAGTAATTGCTGCTGAGAAATTCTATCACTTGTGGTAAAATATTGGTACCATGTTCTGGAATAAGATAAGACTGATCTGAAACTGCTAGTATAAGTCATTCTTTTAAAAAATATTTTTATACCTTTATTTATTTATTTTTATGCAGTGCTGAGTGCCTCATACTGCTAGGCAAGGGCTCTACCTCTAAGCCACATCCCCAGCCCTATGAGTCATTCTTCATAGCAGGAGACCTAGTGCAAGCATCTACATTTTGAAGAATATGGATCTTAGTTTGAATATGATCTACGTGACCTTAGGCAAGTGACTGCACCTCTCTGATTCTGTTTCTTTATCTATAAAATGTTCTCTGATTTTTGTTTGAGGATGAAATCAGCTAAAGCCTGTGCTTGGATCAGAGGAAACACTTCAGTGTAGCTTCACAACGAAGTCAAATCGGATTCTGAGAATAGTGTCAAACTGCAGATTATTGCTGTTTTATCCATTTGGTCTTCTGGAGTCCATGCTCTGGGAAACTCAGGGCAGAAAGGGAACTCAAAAGGGAGCAGAAAGACACAGATGTCCAGGTCCGAGAAGGATGTTTCTAATGCCTGAGGACAGTTTTGCTGATTCCAGGCGGTCAGCTCCTACGCTTTAAAACATGGCAGATACAAGCAACGTGACTGAAATCCTTTTCCTGGGATTTTCTCAGAACCAGAACGTGCAGAAGGTCATTTCTGCCTTGTTCCTTCTCATGTACACGGCCATCGTGCTGGGCAATGGCCTCATCGTGGTGACCATCGTGGCCAGCAAAGGGCTCACCTCGCCCATGTATTTCTTCCTCAGCTATTTGTCCTTGGTGGAGATCTGCTACTGTTCTGTCACAGCTCCCAAGCTCATCTTTGACACCTTGACCAGGAGGAAAGTCATTTCCCTCAAGGGCTGCATCACGCAGATCTTTTTCCTCCATTTCTTCGGCGGCACTGAGATCTTTCTTCTGACGGTGATGGCCTACGACCGCTACGTGGCCATCTGCAAGCCCTTGCACTACAGGGCCATCATGCACCCGCGAGCCTGTGGCCTCCTGGTGGCGGCGGCGTGGGGTGGGGGCTTGCTGCATTCTCTCGGGCAAACCTTCCTCATTTTCCAGCTGCCCTTCTGCGGCCCCAACGTCATTGACCACTATTTCTGCGATGTCCACCCCGTGCTGAAGCTGGCTTGCTCGGACACGGTCCTCATCAGCCTGCTCATCATCCTCAACGGTGGCTCCATCTCGGTGCTGAGCTTCGCGGTGCTGCTGGCCTCCTACGCCGTTATCCTGCGCTCGCTGAGCAGCCGCACCGCCGAAGGGCGGCGCAAGGCCCTCTCCACCTGCGCCTCTCACCTGGCGGTGGTGGCCCTCTTTTTTATACCCTGCTCCTTTGTCTACATGCGGCCCTGCGTCACCCTCCCTGCGGACAAGATTGTGGCCGTGTTTTACACGGTGCTCACGCCCCTTCTAAACCCGGTCATTTACTCCTTCAGGAATGCAGAGGTGAAAAGTGCTGTGTGCAGGCTCATGAGGAGGAGAGCAATCGGGGAGGGAAGCAGATGACTGAGGCCAAACTGGGGGAGTAGGTAGGAAACTGGGGCTCCTAAGATCCCACTCTGCCCCTACCTCGCCTGATGGGGTGGCCTTGGGGTTAGAGCCTGAGCCTGTGGTGTTGAAGTGACAGTAGTGAGGGGTCCCTCCTGTGCCTGGAAACTGCTGGCCTGACACCCTGAGGATTTGCTGACAGGGTTCCGGTGCAGGCCGAGCTGTCTCAGAAGACATGGATTTGTTAGGAGAGTCACATGAGCTTGTGCCAGAAATTAGACTAGGGTTTCTAAAGAATCAAAGGGGAACACAACAGATTTTTTTTTTTTTACGTGATTTGAAAGCACTAGATAAGGATGCCCGTTTTCTAGATAAAAGTTTTATTCTGATGTATATCATTAACATTTTGATCTCTAAAATTCACTTTTGTTCACTTTTGTCTGCCCTTCTTCTCAGTCTGGCCACCTCTTGGCTTCTTAGGATTCACATGCTTTTTAACAAAACACCCGGGTGCCTCACTTCCTATACCACCATATTGCCTAGTTGGGCTCCATCTGCGAGTGCTCCACTTCACCCAGTCTTCATTTGAGAGCTGCTTGTATGGGTTATTTAACTGTTGTTGGTCCCTTATTACAGTCCTACAGCATTTAAACCATCTTTCAAAATAGTCTTATTTCTGACAGCCACCAGACCATAATAGTTGTATGTATGCCCCAACAACAACCCAAATCCTGCTCTTCATTTTCAGTGGATATATTTTTTCTGACATTTCCAGACTAATTGCCTTCTGATTTTAACAGTGTCCTCCTCAAAAATCTTTAATGACTACCATTGCCTTCCGAATCAATTGTACATCATCTTATTTCACTGAACTAATATTTACTGAGAAAATAAGCTAAGTTCATTGCATATGTTAGTTCAAACTAATACAATGATGCTGGGAAACACTAATTATTGATTTAGTTGTTTTGTAAAGGCAGGCTCTAAAACTCATAGATAAGTCAGAATTAATACTCCTAACTCTTAACTTTATACCATGGCTGAAACAGAATACAATGCAGAAATCCTTTTGTTAGCTACAAACTCAGAGTCCATTCAAATGTTTGCCTTGGAAGATACATAGTGTCAGAACCAGACAAATCAGACATAGACATGATAAAATAACAAAAACATGTTAAACAAATAAATGAACAAATAAATAATATAATAGATGTCTCAGGCTCAAAGTAACTTTGTGAATAAATGGTCATAAGTAATTGTATTAAATTCAACTGGTTCTTAAGCGACTCACATCCTTGTCAAATGCCTTTCCCAACATTGTAAAGATAAAATAAGATTTGAGAGAAAGAGAATGATACCGAAAGGGAGAGAGAGGTTGACATTAGAAAGCTGGGCTTCAGGTCAATCAATAAACTTGAAAAATGGCAGGAGGTTCTACTGTGAGTATATTAATAACAACTGGAGGGTGGTGAATGGCTATTATAGTGTCACTGTCAAGAACAAGTTCACAGAGAGTACAAAGGAAGTGAAATCCCAAAGGATGGTGTCCCAGCACTGTTTTCACCACAATTATTTTGTTATTCTGGTTGCAAAAAACAAATAGAGTGACATTTGCTAATAACAGGAAAGTAAAGAGAGCTTCTGCTCTATATTAGAAAGACTTAGACTGGCTCTGATTCCTGAATCTCCTGGAAAAGTGTTCATAGAAGACTCAGAATAGCAGAAATACATAGACTTGCTGAGGTTGGCAGGAAGGGTTTACATAGAGGAGCCAAAACAAAGCAGCTTCTGAATGTTAGAGAACGACAAGAAAGAACAATGCCAGAGAAAAGAGCAAGGAAATGTCATCTCCTAGGATGTTCTGCCGGGGAATATTGAGCATCTTTTCTTTCCCAGAATTTCCCAACAAAAATATATGTGTTTTGTAGCATTTTTATTTCTCATACTCTCCTCTGAAATTCTGAAAATGGTTTGTACAGATGGTTACATTTACCCTCAGGATGGAGAGGAAAGATAGCTCTAGAAATAGCCAGTTTTTGCCACTGAAGGACGCTATAACAAAAACAGTGTAATCATGTATATACACCAAAAAAGACTTTGGCTGCAGGTACGTGTCCTAATCATTTTTAGATGGAAAAAAAAAGTCTTAGCCATATTTTATTTTTATTGAGACTCATCTTAAGTATAAAACATGAACATTATTTATATATGCTCTTTTGTAACACTCCAAGAAAGAATCAAGTTTATTCTGGTGTGAGACAAATGCCTGCACTGGGTTGTGCAGCTAGTATACTGGCCATCATCTGAAAACCGTTGTATTGGTGCGAGTGCACTATAGATCTTCCTCTCTCTAGTTGAACAACACTGGGCAAATTACTTGACCTGGAAACTCAGTTCCCTCAGTTGTAAAATGGAGACAGTAGTAACATACATCACCTGGGAGCATTGTTGTAAGGTTGTTGTGAGATAATGTATTTAGCCCAGTGCCTGGCACTCAGTAGGTTCTCAGTAAATATCAGTTATTAGATTCATTCATCCATCCCTTCCTTCCTTCCTTCCTTCCTTCCTTCCTTCCTTCCTTCCTTCCTTCCTTCCTTTTTTTGTACCAGCGATTGAACCCAGGGACCCTTTACCACTAAGTCACATTCCAAGCCCTTTTTTATTTTTGAGACAGGGTTCCACTGAGTTGCTTAGGGCCTTACTAAGTTGCTGAGGCTGGCTTTGAACTTGTGATCCTCCTGCCTTAGTCTTCTGAGCTGCTGGGATTACAGGTGTGCACCACTGTGTCTGAATAGATTTTTTTATACAAATTAGAGCATTAGAGTTATACATAGTAGATTCATTTTTATAAAATCGTACATATATTTGATGTACATCTTTCAGTCCCCATTCTCTCTTCTCTCCATCACTTCTTCCTCTTTCCCTCTATTGTCCTTCCTCTACTCTATTGATTCTCTATTTATTTATTTATTTTTGATTGTTGCTTTCTATATAAAGATAAAATTCCCAGTGGTATATTTATATATGTACATAACATGATTTTGCTAAATTCATTTCCCATTTCATTCCTGTCCCTCTTACCTCTTTCTTGATCTTCTTCTACTCCACTGATCTTCCCTATATCTTTATAATATTTGATTTCCCCTTCTTTCCCCTATATTTCTCTAGCTTCCATATATGAGAGAAAACCTTTCACTCTTGACTTTCTGAGTGTGGCTTATTTCACTTGGCCTGATTTTCTCTAGTTTCATCCATTTATCAAGAAATGCCATGATTTCATTCTTCTTTATGGCTGAATAAAACTCAATTGTGCATATACACCACATTTTCTTTATCCATTCACCTATTGATGGGCATCTAGACTGGTTCCATAACTTGGCTATTGTGAATTGTGCTGCTATAAACATTTATGTGGCCATATCACTATAGTATGTTGATTTCAGTTCTTTTGGATATATACCAAAGAATGGGATAGCTGGGTCATATGGTAGTTCCATTCTTAGTTTTATAAGGAATCTTCATACTGTTTTCTAAAGTGGTTATACTAATTTGAAGTCTCACCCACAATGTATGAATGTAGTTTTTTCCCCACATCATCACCAGCATTTATTATTATTTGCATTCTTGGTAATTGCCATTCTGACTGGAGTGAGATGCAGTCTCAGTGTGGTTTTGATTTGCATTTCCTTGATTGTGAGAGATGTTGAGCATTTTTTTCTTGTATTTGTTGGCTATTTTTATTTCTTCTTTTGAGAAATGTCTGTTCTCTTACCCTTTTATTAATTGGGTTATTTGTATTTTCTAATGTTAAGTTTTTTGGAGTCTTTATATATTCTGGATATTAATCCCCTGTCTGAGGAATAGGTGGCAAAGATCTTCCATTCTGTGGGCTTTCTTTATGTTCTAAATAATTTCTTTTGTTGTGCAGAAGCTTTTTAATTCATGCTATCCCAATTCTTGTTTTTATTTCTTATACTTTAGGAGTATTTCATGGAAGTCAGTGTCTGTGCCAACAATGTGTTGGAGTATTGAGCCTATGTTTTCTTTTATCAGTTGCATAGTTTCTGGTCTAATTCTTATGTCTTTGATCCACTTTGAGTTTACTTTTGTACAGGGTGGGAGATAGGGATCAAGTTTCATTCTTCTACTTAAGAATATCCAATTTCCCTGATACCATTTGGTAAGAAGGCTATATTTTCTCCAAAGTATGTTTTTGGCTATTTTGTCAAGTATCAGATGACTGCATCTGTGAGTTTTTTTTAATTATTATTTTTTGAGGTAATTTAAAGGTGGTACTTTACCTAATTTCTTTCTCATCAGATTTATTATTGGAGTATAGGAAAGCCATTAATGTATGTATTTTGATCTTGTATCCTACTATTTTGCTAAATTTGTTTATCAGTCTGGAAGTCTTCTGGTGAATTTTTTTTGGGTGTTCCAAGTATAGGATCATGTTATCAGCAAGAGATAATTTGACTTCTTCTTTTCCTATTGGTAATCCTTTAATTTTCTTCTCTTGCCTGATTGCTTTGGCTAGAGTTTCAAGAACTATGTGGAGTAGGAGTGGTGAGAGTGGAATGTTTGTCTTGTTTCTGTTTTTAGAGGAAAGACTTTCAGTTTTTTCCATTCAGTATGATGTTGGCTTTGGGTTTGCCATATATAGCCTCTACAATGTTGAAGTAAGTTCTTTCTATGCCTAGTTTCTCTAGTGTTTATAAACTAGAGAAATTTTATTTATTGTAATAATCATATGATTCTTGTCCTTAACTCTATTTATGTAGTGAATTACTTTTATTTTTTTGCAAATGTTGATCCATTCTTGCATCCCTAGGATGAAATACAGTTGATTATGGTGCACTATCTTAATTGTTTTTAAATGCAGTTTGTGAGTATTTTATTAAGGATTTTTGCATTTATGTTCATTAGGGATATTGGTCTAAAGTTTTCTTTCTTTGATGTATCTTTGTCTGGTTTTGACATCAGGGTGATATTGGCTTCATAGCATGCATTTGGCAGTT